GAGTCTGATATTTGCAGTGGATGGAGGGTGGGTTTTGCTCACATGCCTGGATGACGATGTGAGAGGATGAAGAAAGCATACTCAAAGCATACAGAGAATACTTCTAGTAACTGGCAGAGGCAAGGCAATTCTCTCTCATGTGTGGCATGTCACACAAAAATAAAAGGAGTGGTTCATGTTACTCTAGACCTAAAGACTATTTACAATTGTAGTTTTCAGTCTTTTCTAAACAGCCACTGTGGACTCAGAACACCTATCTTGGGAGGGGGCTCTGGAGGTCATCCAGTCCAGCCTCAGCACAGGGCTACTGATTATTTTATCCCACAGTTAACCTCTTTTAATGTGAGTTTCTTCCTGCACATCCTGGTGTGATTCCTCTGCTGCAATTTATGACAGATGTTTTTTGTGGTTTAACTGGGAGGTTCAGATTTGCCATTTCTGCAAATGCTGCAGTTGGCTATAGCTGGCAATCAGATCTCTCCGGAGTGCCGCCTCTCCTGGCTGAAGGGATCCAGCTCCCTCAGCTTCTTCTGCCGCGTCATGTGCAGCAGGCCAGCCCTTCACCAGCTCAGTGGGGACTGGGAAAGTGAATCACTACACTGCACACAAAATTTAAAATGAAAGCAAAGAAAACCCCTACAGGCAGGCAGGAGGGACTTTTTGGATTTTCCTCCTCTTCTCTGAAGGGAAGAGACATTGCATCACACAAGTTCTTTCAGAGAAGTTTTTGAGGAAGCAAAGCAGACTTTCACTGCACAGTGCGTGTCTTCCCTGCTTCCTGCCCATAAACTTCATCTCTCACTGTTAAAGAGCTTGGGCCAACATTTTAAAGATTACAGGCAGAAATTCCAGTGCTGTAGCTGCATCTATATAGTGTGACTTCTGACCACATTAAAGACAAAGATCTGTTGAAGACTCAAAAGTAGGAAGTCATCATTTGCACATGCAGTATTTATTTAACAATGTGCAACACCCCAAATTGACCAGGAAGTTAGTAACCAACACCTAACATCCATTAGGAACTGAAATTAATCTCAAAACCCAAAATAGTTCCAAGTCTTTTATTTAAATGACAAGTTCCCTTAAAATTGTCCGTTTTTCTCTCTTGCAAAGCCATAGAGTTGTAATTTTCCTACCAGTAAGTGCTGTAGCTTGTTTAAGCCCATTAAGACACACTTTTTAGGTTGTGGATCCCTCACCAAATCATCTGAAGACAAAAAAACTACCAACTTGGAGACAAGTGAAATTAATATTCCAGAATTTGTTGTTTTTTCCTTAGGTAATCTTCATGGCATAGTAAAGGCGCCAAGTGCTCACTCAGCAAACAGAACCCACAGATAAAACTGGAGAGGTTCATCACAAACATTGCTCATGCTTTCTTGGTCCACCTACTAAAGTAAAGAGAGGCTCAGTTGTGGTAGTGCCGATGCTCTCTGACACACTGCCACCAGAGGCAGCTGAGGCAACTCCTGAAATATTGGTAGTGTGGGTGGGATATGACCCACACACTGGGTTTTAATTTATTTTTTTGTTTTGGAGGGATTGGTTTGAGGCCTCTGCATCTGATCACAAAGTCCTGTCCAGACCACATTGGGCTGGCTTAGCACATCGCACAAGGAGGGCAAGGGGTTGGCAGGCCTGCACTCGGGAAAAACTCACGGAACTGGGATGCCTGCCTCCACATTTGTCATCAAAAATTGGGCTGCAGAAGGAGCAAACACTTCTAAGGTAGCTACTTTGGGCAATAAGACCTGGAAAGATGCAAGCTCCAGGGGTTTCCCTGTCCAAGGGAAAAAAGAAATGGAAGAAAAAAAGAGAACCTGCCTTTCACACATCTCTTCTGCAAAGAGAAATTTGCAAGCATCACACTTTCTAGCCTGTGGCTCAGTTCTGTGGTTGTCTTTTGAATTCTCAGTATCATTCTCCATCATCCAAAGAATGCAAGCTCTAGACCAGAAAGTCCATTCTTACAATAATCTTTACCACCACCATCTCCAACTATGAACTGTATTTGTATGTTTTTATAAGCCTTTTTTGTTTTCCTTTATAAATACAATGTTCAAGATCTTGTGTGGATAGTCTCTGAGCATTCAGGAAACCGTGTGCTGAGCTTTTCAAGACAGGACCCTTCACACTTAACTGGTTTTCACAATTCTCAGAGGTGTTAGTTTCGAGTCTACTGCAACATGACTGTTTAACCAGTAAGATCACCCTGTGATTCTTCAAGACAAAAAAAGCTTTGTTCCATTTTCTTTGTCCTAAATCAAGTTTGGTGTATCTCAAATAAAATTGCTAGTTTTGCTGCAATTGTCAAATCAATTCTTTGTAATTCACCATCCAAATTCACAGTATTTTATTGCAATTTCTATGCAGAACTCAGGGTGAGTACGAATCGGTGCTGTATTAATAAGGCTGCTGATACCTGAGAAGCAGTCACATGGAAGAAGGGACTGAGAAATGGCAAAGATGCTCTCTGCCTCCTTGCTACCACTGCCCTCTAGCCATTTAGGCAAGCTTCTGCAACCCTTCCTTCCTTGTTATAATTTATCTCACGCTTAATCACATTTGCAGCAGCAGGTTATCACAGGCCTCAGCTCTACCAAACCTGGCAGCCAAAAACACACCCCCCTGCATACAGTTCCTGTCTTCTGGAATGGAACTGCACATGCCCTCCACCCTTCCTACAATTAACTGAGTTCCTATAAATGTGCAAAATATTACACAAAACATAACACAAAACAGTCATGCCCAGAAAGAAAACAAAGTGTATTTATTTTTGTTTTCAATCTGTATTTTCAGTCTGAAAGGATTGTATTTACTCTCTTTAAAAGGGATGCAAGTTGAAGGGTTGATGTTGTCTTGAAGGGATGTTATTATTCAGGTGATTTTGGCACACCAAAAAACTGCATCAGAGTCAATACTCTTAGTGCTGTACATTGCAAGGATTTGACAACTGCAGGATTAATTTTGCAGGACACATAGCAAGCTGACGGGCAAAACCTCTTGGTTTGCCTGCTCATCGTTTGCTCTGCTTGTCATGCTTTTCCCTGTTCAAGCTGTGGCTGGATAGCAGAAATTAAAACATCACACAAGTAAGACTTCTGTGATCATTTAAAGTTCTAATGAACAGCAGTAAGTTTCAAGGAAGGCCAGCTTTCCTCACTCTGTAGCAATTAATGAATGCATTCAAATGGTTTGACCATTTAATCCTTGCCCATAATTTTTAAACAGAACATAAGGAAGCATCCCCAGGCTGAAGCACTGTAGGACTGGACTCAAGCTACTGCAGGCTGCATCAACGGCAAAGGGCAGAAAAGAAGTTGCAAACCGAGGATGAAGAGGGTCAGTAGGATCCAGGAACTGGCTGCACACAGTCCACACATGCAGATGGGCCACACACACCTCCCCCAAACAGTGCTCTTATTCTCAGTAATGCTCAAGCATACACCACCTAAGTAACATGAACTGAGAGCTTCAAAAGCACATTCAGTCTTCAGAACAAAAGCCAAGTCATAAAGAGACAAGGGCACTCTTTTCTTGGTATTTTTTTTATTTACATATATAAAAAAAATGTACATATTTACAGGAATTTCATTACAGATTTCAGCCCAATTATTGCATCCATTTAGAGAATATAGAAAGACTATTAATAAACAATAGTTATTCATAAAGGACTGAACTATAAAAAATATCACCCTTGAGGAATCTGCACAGGTCATCTTTTCCTGAGATACAAGGTGCCCTGTCTTTGGATTGTCATTTTGGTTGTGTTTTTGCTTTTTGGGATTTTGGTTTTTTTAAGGTGTGCTGAAAATATTAATTTGAACCGAGTAGATGTCTCACTTATTAATACTCAACTGTTTACATGGAACCACTTCAGAGCAACTTCTTTTTCCTAACCCTGAGAAAAACAGGTCTTCTCATGGAAGTTTCTTTTTCTGCAATCTTATAGTGAAGGATTACATAAAAATATATGAGTCTGTTCCAGGCAACTGGGACTCTACACGCTGTATTGTTTCCACAGATGTCAGTGGATTTGACAATTTTTATTTTTTTTTAAACTACATTATTGACTTTTGTGTGGAAAACCACACAAAAGCAGATTTGATGTTTCTGTGCCAGCACACAGTACTGCCACAATACTTCATTGCTAACTGCATAGCTAGTAATAAAAATTACAATGCCCACTCAAGAAGAAGAACTAAAGAAATTCTTAGAATGTTGGCAGGTATGAGGCCAGAGTTTTGTGAAGTTCTCTTTCACAGGATATAACTTTTGGAGTCTTACATCATCACCTAAATCAAGTGAGAGGAAGGGAGGTGTGCTAAGCAGCCAGGACAAGGATAAGAATCAACTGAAAATGTTTAAGTGGCAAAACCTTATGTGTTACCAGATATGTGATACTGGATAGCTGACAGGCCTGTAAAAGGCATGAGTATTAAATTATTTTCAATGTATAAATGTTAGGCACTCCCATATTCTGGATCAAGGTGCTATGTACAAACATTCAGAAGCTCAAGCAAACTACTTCATCTCAAGAATATTAATCAATTTAACTAACTCAATTAAGTGAAAATGTATAGATAAATACTACCTGACAGGTTCCCAACTACATTGCTCAGATATTTGGTATTAGAACTGCAAAAGCAAGGCTAACTAGCTGTAGCTGAAAAGGCATTTCCATTCCCATCCCAAGAAATCCTCACACTGCAAGCTGCTGGATTGTGTCCAACTCTCAGGCTCTCAATACCACTACTGGCAACTACTCAAAGCAGGAATGGTGGTAACAGCTTACTGAACCAGAAGCACATCCTTCTCTCACTGTGGCCTCACATTTTCAGCTACTCACAGCTAGTAAAAGAAGCCTGTGCTTTGTGCACCCTGAAACTTCTTTATTTCACAATTACCAAAACTGTAAGCTGGCCTGAGCAATTTAAACATCTAAACTATCCCTGTGCCACTAGTTAAGTATGCAGCACACAGAAGACATACTGCAGGGATGGTGCTAGTTCAGTGGCTTTTTTATTTACAATTCAGAAATTTTCATTAAAAAGTACATTTAACCTTGCTTTATTTCAAGAGCAGGTCTGTTGCATATAAATGTGATATAGTACAAAGCACTCATACAGCTGTTCTTGACTTTCAGCTTCCCAAATAACACCACCTTTCCGATACATGTGACTATTTGCCATGCCAAATTTTTCCCATATATTTTTGTGTCATTTCTTACTGATCTTAACATCACTCTTCTTAATGATATCTTAGCTCCTGGCTGGGTCCTTTTACTCACATTAGACTCCACGTGATTTGAAAGATTTAGAAGAATGTACAATGTACTTGTATTGCAGGGGTAAGAGAAAAGAACCCGAGACAGTCACTTCATTTTAAAATGTGTCTAGTGGCATTCCTCTGCCAGTGTGTCAGCAAAGGGAAATCTTCCAGAACAATGAAACACTTAGCTCACACAAATCTAACACACTCTGTCTCAGTTTAATAGCACCAGAGTTTCCTGATGCACTGCTAAGAATGTAAATCTAATTAAAAAAAAATAAAAATTACACGTTTCTGACAGAATCTTGGTTTTGAGGCACACACATCAAATCCAACAATTGCCAAAGCTAATTACGGATGTTCTTGGACAACATCAACATTTTATTTCTTTTTTTGACAAAACTGAGAGAAGGAAAACAAGCTACCAAGTGCAAGGTTAAATGCTCTGAGCAGTTGCAAAGAAAATACAGAGCAAATTGTCTGGTCAGAAACTTCTTCCCAAAAAACAAGACTAACTCCACAGTTTCTAATGCTCTCTTTATCCCTTCAGAGCCAAGTTTAATGTAAACACTTCCCTGACATTTATAAATTCCTGAGGTATTTTATTGCAATTCATATTCATCAACAAACCTCCAAACTCAGAAAGAAATTACATCAACTGCAATCTCTGCACAAGACACAGCAGCTCATCTACTTAGTAGACAGTCCCCTGAGAGCCTCAGTGATGAACCACATCACTACCCGGTCAGTTTAGTTGAAGTTTCAAGTGCAGTTAATGCTGATTTTCCAAAAGCTTTCTTGCCACACCAAGAGTGTTATTTTCTGCACCTCTGCCTCGGGGAGACCTACACAGTAGTGCATCCTAAGCAGTAAGACAGTAAGCACTGCCTCTAGGAACTCAGCCCAGAACACGACATTGAGGAAGTTGCTATGGAGTCGCACTGTGTTTGAATAGAATGCAGAAACTAATCACAGCCAGCTAACAATTACTATTTGGTCTTTCCATGACATCATAACTACATATCATAACTAATTTGGCTTTTCCTAAAATTATCAAAACCCTGCTAAGCAATCTGTTACCTTCCTGTGAGTAGAGATGGGAAAAATAGCTATTGTTTTTAAATCTTTTATACCACTGTGGTCAGTATCTGATATATACAACAATGGAAGCACTCCCGAAACTGCTGTATAAACTAACTTCACCTTAAGAATGCTCACATCACTAAGGAATGTAAGGACAGAAGTCCTATGACACTGGTTTTCCCTTAAAACCACCACTGTAATATGGTAACAATTCTGACAATCCTATAATAATGTCTTTTATAACAAACCCACGATTTTGTGTAAATGGACCAACTTGTACCCGTAAAGCGTTTTTTTTTCCTGAACTTCATTAATAATTGCTCTAAACATTTCCTACAAATAGAAAATACCTACCAAATCTTAATTAAAGGGAAATAAATATATCACATGCATTTCAATATTAAAAAAAAATATATAAAAATATAGAATTCTTATTCCTCAGTTTTCAAAACTACAGACTCGGTGATATAAAATTTGGAAGAGGCTGTCAGCTGACAATAAAACTTATAAAGCATGGCTTAATCACACTATTTTCCTATGGTCTTGAGATGTTTTTTATGAGGATGATTTTGTGATTTTTTTTTTAGAGGGTAATTTTGTGTAGTTCCAGTGTTATGTTATTATAAGGGGTGGAAATAGCAGTGATTTTCATCCTGTTAGAAAAGTTCAATTGATTTCTATTTAAAGAACATATTGTTCTAATAATTAGGATAAAAATAGAATAAATAGAAGAATAGAACAATGGAATAGAATAATATAAGAAACCAGGCTTTTGAATTTTGAGGGCATTTTCTAAGGAATTTGTGCAACTACCCATTAGACTTCTTTCCCCCAGTGATGATCAGTCAGCTTACTAATAGAATGGGACATGGGTACTCAGGCCACAAGGTGATCCAAATGGGAGCTGCTATATTGAAGTTAGCAGCAAAGACTACAAATAACTGGTACTTTCACAGAATTGTTAGGGTTGGAAGTAACCTCTGGAAACCACCCAGTCCAACACCCTGGTAAGGCAGGGTCACCTAGAGCAGGTGACACAGGAATGAGTTCAGGTGGGTTTTGAATGTCCTCAGAGAGGGAGACTCCGTGATCCCCCTGGGCAGCCTGTGCCAGTGCTCTGCCACCCACCCTCAATGCAAAGAAGTTATTCCTCATGCTGAGGTGAACTTCTTGTGTTCTTAGTTTATGGCCATTACTTCTTACTTCTCTGACACACAATCAAATTCCTAAGATATACAGGAAGAGTTTATAGGGCACAGTCTTATTTAAAAGAAATAGGAGCATTTAATATAAAAATACTCTTCAAAAGAAAAAAACATAAGCGAGAAGATACCTCCAATAATGGTAAAAATTCTCAAACATTTCTTGCACACATCCATCATAATCAAGTGCAGGAGTTTTTAAGCATTATGCTTGTTGAACTGATTTTGAGCAAGATTTGAAGCAGAAGTGCATAATGGTACAGCTCATGTTTTATAGTCCATGGTATATTTTCTATAGAGTATTGTTAAAAAACACAGCACTATTTCAAATAGGAAATGAGTTATATCATATACAAAAGCATTTCAAAAAGTGGTTACTATTAAATTTCCCCACATTTTTATGCCATTTTCAGATACTATTTTCATTTGTTTACTGACCAGAACAAGTACAACTCGTAGATAATCACAATTTAACCCACACTTTCCAAAACCTTCAGTAATGCTCTTCTGAGTTGTGGTTAGGCACTTCAGTTATCCTGCCTACTCAGTTGGCCTGTAAGCATTCACAGGCTGCTCTTCACCAACATCTATCATCAACATATCTAATGGAACATGAGGCTTGTCATAGCCGGAAAACTTGAAGCAGCTGCTTGGAATCACCGTTTGCTGTCTTTCTGTGGTAGAGATCTGTGACCCTGAAGACTCATTGCAGATATCCATTTGGCTACTGTCAGAAATGAAGTAATTCTCTTTTACCACACAGTTCTGTTCTTCAGCATCAGAAGAGACCTCCTCTGTGCTTTCCTGAACAGGCACCTCTTCTGCTTTGGCTGGTGGCTCTGGGGAAGGGACAGAAGATTCTCCATCACAGGAATTTGCAGGACTAACAGTTTGTTCTTCTGGCTCTGTGACCAGCAAGGTTACTTCACCATTCACTGGCAACTCCGAGTGGCTCGATGGGAAGCTAATTACGGATATATACTTCCCGTCTGACCTTGGTCCCAGTAAGGTGCCTGTGTTCAGGTTTCTCATCACAATGACCTTAAATGGAAAAAAAAAGAAAACAAACCAAACAAAACAACTTTGAGTTTAAAAGCTGAAAAAATATGCAAGTCAATAATTTAGCATCATTATAACCAATTCCAAAACAAAACTGGAAAATTAAAATCTGGCACGGTCATTGGCCTATGTCCACGAGTTTAACGGTTCCAGTAACACTTGTTTGCAAGATCTCAAAAATGCTTTCTTTGGGCAAGCATATTTGCAAGGATCAAATCCATTTCATGTTGCCCACTATATTTTGAAGTTTCCAGCATAGAGGAAAACAGCAAAAGAAGACAAAGAGGTAATACTCTTCAGCTGGGGAAGCCTTTCATACTCCACAGAGAATGAGTATAATTTACAATGGCTGTGATAATTTCTGGCACCTGTTTCAACCAGGAGGGAAGTTAACAACATACCCAGCAACCACATCTATGCTGAAGTCTCTTAACTTATTTCATAAAGTCACTATGCTGCAACAAACTTTAATGTTTCACACTGACATCCCTCCACAGGTTGATCATATGAATTCTTTCACTGGCCAAGCCCCAGCTCGTTTTAAACTATTACAATATGCCTTCAGGCTGCTTAGATTCTTTATTTTTTAATTTTTTTTAAGTGTCTTTTCAAGAGTACATACACATTAAAAACAAAGTAGGGTAGATTTTCAGCTATTTGATGGTGTTCCGTAAAGATAACAGAATGCCCAGGGAGAAAAAGTTAACAGTGTTCTTTCACAAATTTTGTAATTCACTATGTATGTATATCACACAATATCAAGTATTATAGATCCATGAATTTCTTAATAAAATACACAATCACTGTTTTTTCAGATACTTTGCAAAAAAAAAAATCTGCCTGAAAATTCAGATGGAGGCTAATTTGGAAGAAAGAGGTGTATACAGGAGGAGGAAAGATGAAGTAAAACACAATTAAGAAAAATTACAAATCATCACAAAGAACTTCCCTGTCTGTACTAGTGTAAGAACTGAGAGGGCCATCAAAACCAGATGATCCCATTGACTGTGCTTTTCAGGAGTCTTTCCTGATTAAATGGTTGTCAGACTGAAGCTTTACATTCATACCTTCAGACTCTGCTGCCTTCATTAGAAATTGCCTTCATCTCTCACTTCAGTCCCATTATCTTACCCCTCAGAAGCTCTGATGATGCTAATCTGTGGTTAAGGCTGGATCAATATAAGCATTACAGTTTAGGAAAACCAACCAGCCAAACAACAAACACCACCACAGGTCAAGCAAACACTCCCTGAAGAGCAGTTACTGATCATCTAAGTTACTTTTACAAACACCTGTGTGAACACCACTAAGGTGAGGCAATCCTCTGGGGAATCAAGGGCTGCCACTGAGAAGTGCATTCAGGTAGCTTCTGACACACTGCGACCTAGCTGTAGTGTACAACCATCAGTGTCTTTGGATCTTCATTTTCTGTTATGGAAACAGAATACTACAGAATATATAGAACTATAAAGAGTATTCAGAGTAATTTCCATGGCAGTTCATGGAAACCACTCATTCATACGATGCACATGCTTAAAAGATAGTTCTAAGTAAGAGATTACAATCAACAATGGGCAGACACTGAAAATGTTAAGAACACTTTTAAAAGGATTAATGCACTTTTTGAGAATCTCTTTATATAGCTATATTGGATATATATCCAAAATACTGGGTACTTCCACTATACAACACTGATCTTGAAGGGACCAGTATCTATAGTTTTCTGGGGTTGGGGTTAGCAAAAATCTGACTCCAATAACCACGCAGCAATTGACAAGAGAAGGGAATTCTCTGTGGAAGAATACTTGAGGAATGTGAATTACAACAAAGTATTAGAGAAACCATAGTCAAAAGCTGTGTTTTCAGCTTCCCATCTCTCCCCATACCCGTACATGCTAAACTGAAGTTAAAAACAAAGCCCAATGAGTTCTTGTTTCTCCTCTTTTAGGATTTTCACACAGTTCTAAAAAATCACAGTCCTAAAATGTGTTAAGGGATCACCTTGCATTCTACACAAGTCCAGCATTTCACAGTGAGTGCTGCCAACACTTTGAGACTTTGGAAATAAAATAACTATTCTCTGTACAACTACATCCAAGACCTCTCACAAGGAAGCCCACTTTTTTCTTGACAAGTTTCTGACCACGGCAAGATGATACAAAGACACTCCTATTCCCATTCATGAAAGAAGGAAGTGATCAGAAGAAAAAACTCCTGTGTGTTTCCCGGTACCAAAGGTATTTTTAAGGGTCACTGAGTCATGACTACAAGACAATTTAACAACTCATGCAGCTGTTTCTAGCTTCAAAGATAAGAATCACAGCTTATTACAGTAACTGGTTATTACAGCAACATTCTAAAGATCTTGAGTAACAAGGGTAATTAAGATATGGTGGCTATTTGAAGAAAAGTATTTACTATAGGCAAGTTAGTATTTTTCTTTTATTGACATAACCTAATACTAGCAAACTGACAGCCTGTGATCTTAAGATGGGTATCAGCAATATTACCTGGCATGTGCAGGTACATAATTTCCTGTCTCAAATAACAGCACCTGTGCTTTCAGGTCTTTCATGGTCTCAACAGACTAGGGAGACACACTGCTGAAAGTCAGGCCCAAGGACACAGGGAAGTAACATATCCCAAGGAATCCGTAACAGTTAAGGTAATTAACAAGTCCTTTCTTAACTTCTTTTCTAGTAACTTGTCCACCTATGAATTCCAAGTAATTTTCAGGTGCACATTTCATGAAGGGGAGTTTGCGAACTCCAAATCCTATTAGGATGATGGCAATAATCTTTGTGGTTTTTGTATGCTTCCACAGAACATTAATGCTAGATAAATTTATGAAGACCATGTTACTGCCCCCTGCAGATGCTCACAGGGGAAAAAAATTTTCACAAAAGTAATCAAGCAGCTTCTCTCTTGTAAGATGACAAATTATTTGTGGCAAGTGTCAGTCAGTATTTACAGGAACAATTAGTTTCTCCATATCAAAAATGTATGTTGTATAACCAAAAAAAACCAGCTGCAAAGAAAATTCCCTACTGTTTTGTAACTATCCTTAAGTGTTCTACAAAGAGAGAACACAACCTTATCCCTGTCAGAATTAGAAAAAGCATCAGCAGATAACAGAAAAGTAGGCTTAAGTAAGACTCAACTTTCACTTTTCTCTTATAAAGTAGATGTTTCTTACATAATATTTGCCACCATTCGAAGATAAAAGACACTGAAGAAAAACACAGGGAAGTTAAAATGCAGAGAGAGAGAGATGCCCACAGCATACCAGAAAATTATGGTCACATTCCTTCAAAAGTGGCTAAGCCCTTACCACAAATCTTAGAACAAAAATCAAGTACTGGGATAACCACAGGACATTTTTCAATGACTGAAGACAATGGGTAGAAGGAGACAGCCTCCTATAATACTTTTTGCAAGATAAATGAAAGGAAGCTATAACTACAGATGAACTGCTGAAACATCAGATTTCCTTGATCCAGGCAGAAGACCAACATGAAGTCTTGTAAAGGAATCTGTCCCATTTCATGTATGCACATTCCTGGTAGGATCCTACTGTTTATAATAATATTTAAACATTTAAACAAACATGTTTTCTGATGAAGACATTCATCATATGCCATACTAAATGGCAGCTGCATTGTGGAAGCAGGACCAAGATACAACTGATATGTAATTCTTGGGAGTCACAAACAGCATAGAAAAGACAGTATAAAAGCTCTGGAGTTCTAATTGGCAATGGATTTTTTTTTCTTTTCTCTAAGTATATGAGACTCACAAAGGTGGCTGCTTGGGTACTTGATGCTTGATGGTTACTCTTTCTTATTTTTCCTTCGGTTGGAAAATTCCAAGTTGTTCAAAGTGACTCAAATGATGTTTTAGAATCTACTTAAAGCTACCAGGAAGATCACTGAAAAACAGCAGTCCTAAGGTAGGACATCTTGCCCAGTCTTAACAGATGGAAAAACTCCCTAGATGTTTTATTCTCAGACAAGCTCAGGTAAGGCACAACGATCATAACCTGTACAGAAAAAAGGCCTAGTACATACACAAAGGTCAGTGACAGGCTCCAAGTGCCATCAGGTCTATAGAGATAATGTCATATAATCAAACTTACTGATCATATCAATTATTTCAATTGTTTGTTCATTATTTTAAATGATTAACCACAAAATAATTATGTTTAAATTATTAACTACTCGTTTTGCATTCACACAGTATTCATATCACCTATGTTTAAACTACCTCTATGAGCTCTACAACTTATGTTAGTCATTAAAGACTCCATTGGAAATGGACAGAAACATAGAATATCCTGATTTGGAAGGGACCCATAAGAACCAGTGTCTACCTCCTGACTCCACCCAGAGCAACCTAGGAATTTAAACCCACATCTCAGAACATGGGCAAAATGCTTCCTGAACAGGACTTGGGCAGCAACCACTTTCAAGGGGAGTGTGTCTCAATACTTGACCACACAGTTAACAATATTTAAAAATAGTTACAGGCTTCATTCAGCTCTTTAGCAACAAAATATGATGTAGCACGTGAACCATACTGTGGTACTGGAACCTAGGAACCATAAAGTAACATCTAGTCCATTAAAATGAGAATATGGGCACACACATGAGTTTCTACTAAGTAATCTCAAGTGTGAAGCTGGAGCATGCATCAGGAAGCTCACAGGTGTAAAGGAGCACACATTCTATTTGTGATATTCCACTTCCTGATCTTTAGGTGGGACATCACAGTGGGACTTGAAAGCAAAAATTATGGATCCACTGAGCACAGCACTGTAATTCTCCATGAGCATCTTCTGCTACAATGAATGGATCTCCACAGAAATTACTGAGTACACACAGTTGTGTGTACACAGGACACAAAGTTACATATTCAGACAAATACACTCTGGTGTGAGGATGACAAAAAGTCTCCAGTATCTCTACAGGCCCATGTGTTTTGATATTGGGGCCTATTTAGAGATGTCAGAGAGGTTTTTCTCATCTGGTTTTTTAAAGCCTACAGTGTGAATGGCTACCTCCAAACCAGTCCCCTGGCTCCATCACAGTCCATGGAAAGAAACAAGAATTTCAGAAAGCCTTTTGTCTGATCAGAAGTGCATAAAGGAGATGAATCATCTTGTGCTGCTCAAGTTGGTGGACTAGATCACTGCTTTACTACAAAGGGACCACCTCTGGCTTGGGTATCTCCATTTAGTCAGAGCAATCTTGCCTCCTGATATTCTAAAGAACACAGATTCCAGAGGGATTTGGGGCATTGACTATGGAGAGGTCATTTTAAAGGGTTTTGAAACTGAAGAAAATGGAATGGAAATTTGTTGGCTACTCTCTCTATAAATGAGACTTCCTCCATCCACTGAGAAGATACTCTTGCTGTGATTTCTGTTTACTACTGCCTCAGGTGTCAGCTCTTTGACGCTGTGATAGTTCATTGTTGTGACTAACACAACACCAGGAGAATATTACAACAGTAGTTCTTAGATACTCCACTCTTGCCTGACATGAAACCAAGGAGCACTGCTGCTCCTTAAGGAACACCCACTCTGTTTCCTAGGAATGGCTACAGGAAGTTTTTAAGATAGAGCAGCTGTTGACCTCTCTTCTCCATGACTGCTCAATGTGAGAACAGACTTCTGCATGTCCTTCTTCCCTCTTCCTACAGAGCTATTACTCCCTTCCCTTACTCTGCACATCACTAAGCATATTGTAGCAATTAGCAGGATTCCAATACTACTGTTTAATGAAGGAATCTCTCAGCTCCTGTGACAGGACAAAAGGAAATGGGTTGAAACAAACAGAATTTTTTCTGAATGTAAGAAAAGCTGTGATGGTGGATGGTTTAACATTGGAACAGATTGCCCAAAGCAGCTGTAGAGTTTCCTTCCTTGCAGGTATTCAAAAGGCATCTGGATACACTCATGGCTAACCTGTTCCTGTGCTTGAGCAAAAGGCTTTGGGTAGATGACCTCAAAAAGGCTTTGAGTAGATGAAAGGTCTCATGTCAGTGATTCTGTAGTTTTGTGTCTCTGCTACTAGACTGAACACAAACCTGCCTAGGTATGCACACGCTGAGTTTTTAAGAACCAAGTTCTCAAACTACACCAACTACTGCTACTTCAGTTAAAGAGACATTGAAGACTAGCCCTAAAAAACTAAGACTCATCTGGTTGCAAAGGCTTTCAGAATATTAGACTGGCATAAATTCTAAATATCTGTAAGACCATGGCAAAAGAGCTGAAAAAACCCAACCAAACAAACCCAGAAGACTGGCATTAAGACACAGGAGTTACAGAACTTACCAACGACTTTGGCAGCTGTATGTTGTCTTTCCTTAGTTTTTTGCAGCCATAATACACCGAAAATATTACAGTCAAGATCCCAATAACAACACACACAATGATGATACCATGTGTACCTAGAAAATTAAAGAAAAATCTACTAGGAATTTTGGAAAAACAAGCCACTGCTGTACCACTTAGAATAATTTCAGAAATTCTAATAGCTCAGAATGCTTAGCTGTAATGTGTGAATTTGTCAATCTACTACCTTTTCTCACTCAGGAAAACTTAATCCATAACACTTTCATGGAGTAAATAAGAATTACAATGACAGCTTTTCAATTCATATAAACATAATCATGGTTTTATAGAACTAAAGGGATTTTGCATCTAATTTTTTGTTCCTTAGAGATGAGAGATGGGGATAAGATTTGTACACTTTCTATGTGATAGCATATTAACTGACGTAACTATACAGAGTTTATGCACAGTAAAAGTAAAATATGAAATCTTCCAAAACACAGAATTGTTAACAATTACTAGGTGGACTCCACTGGTGTGGTTCTCTTAATACCCTCCCTCATCCAGTTGATCCTGTGCATTCAAGAAAACTGCTTCTATCAATTTGCAGAAATTACAGGCCATAATGAAGTACAACCACAATATTTGTTTTGTTCTCTTTACTTAAGAAAAAGACCTGAATATCTTAATTTAATGACAGTAAGTTTATACTTGCTTCCAGTTAAAAGTCTATACACATTATCCTTCAAAAAGCCAGTTGCTAGAAGAGACAATGCCTTATGAATGCCTATGAAAACCACACAGCTCAGTGAATGATCAATTTGTGATTTTTTGATTACACCAGTGTTCATGTGCAATAGAAAAGTTTTGTGATACCAGCAACACAGGAAAAATACCCCCCCAAAAAATTCAGGGTCACTTGAAAATAATACATGATTTGTAAAGGTCAGAACTATCAAAGTACATTTGGAAAATAATGACTAAGCTTTCCCTACTTCTTCTATTCTCCCCAAAGGCATCCTAAGCATCAAATACTTGCTAGATCAGATCTATGTTCAGATTCAGTATGTTCTTAATATAGTATTAGAAACCTCTTACTTGACATCTGCTTGAGAGGAACAGAAATGCAACTTTCCTCTGATGGAGTGCCAAACATCAGATTATCAAAACTTCCTGTTGCTGAAACACAGTAAGTAGAATTTTCAGTAGAAATTGGGATTTTGAGGCTGCACTTATTCACTGTACAGTTGTCTGCATAGAGCTCCTCAGTCTGAAAAAAATTGGAAGATATGTTATATCATTTGACTCACTAGAACAATGTTACAATACCTTCCACCACTTCAAAAAAATGTAAGAACACTATTAGACGTGTTTTCTACATCACCCATATGTCTTGCAAAATCTATATGACCATCTCCTTACCGGCTACCTTAAGATGTTGTATTTGATCAGAGCATGGTATTTTCCAGGTAAAATTTCTGCTGTTCACAGTAGAGATTCACAATTATAAAACTTGTACCTGGATGCGTATGAAAAGCTAACTATAAGTAAAAACACCCCACCTTCACCCTCCATGATTGCTAAATAAACTGGTATAAATACCTCAAAAGGTAATTTTCTTAAGTGAAATGTCTCTTTAGACAAGTGAGAGTGGCACAAGTCAAATTACCAATGTTTTAGCATGTATGCAGAGACAGCAGCATGTAACACTTGTGTATTATTCTATCTTAATAATATTAATTAATAATTAATTAATAATATCTATATTATTAATGCAATAATCTAATTTTCATTGTAAGCAACTACTTTGGACAACTGAAATACAGACCTTTCAATCACATATTGTAATGCGCTCGACATTTTAGGTGTTCAGCTGTTTTCTTGGCTTCTCTTAGCTCCATGTGTCATAGGCATAAATCTCTTGTATAGACATTTAAGGTAAACCAATGTTTTTAATTTTAAATTTTATTTTTGGAACCTACCTTATTTTTACTATCCCGAACAATCGCCGAGTACTCAAGCTTTGAATAAATGTCTTCAATACAAGAAAGAGGGAATACAGAATGGTAAATATCAACCGTGATTTTATCACCGTGTCTTGACAGACTCAGTTTTGGCGGTCCTATTTTTCCTGCAACACATTGCACCATTGCTATTAGGCCAAAGGTTTTAACATAAAATATGGTATTTATAGTTAGCTTTCCAAAATTCATCAGAGATTTGAGAAGAATTAAGTATTTATATTTCCATGCTGTTAATATTGCAAAGCTGTGGTAAGACCTCTCTGCTGTTAGAAGTAATGGAGGCATTTGGATACATTAACTAATCAGTTTCTAAAATGGAAACAGATCATTCATGAAGAATTTTACTGTAAAGCAAGTTAACTTTCCTAGACATCGAAGTCCATAAAACTTGAGCTGACAACAGAAAAAACTAACAGCAATTAAACATATACAGGAAAGAGAACCAAACACAAGATCTTGCTGACTAGCTCCCACCATAAAACACCTCAGTTAAAAACAATACTGACTAAAACAATGGAAAGCTATATGAAAAGCTAAACAAATCTCACCAGAAGCACCATTTGGGAACTTTGGATTTCCCACGGCACTGGCCTATGTGAATTTTTCGTGTCTAATGGTCTGACTGAACATGAGTTTCTTGTTCAAAGGAAAAAAGGATTTTGTCTATCTTCTCCATATGTGGTTACCAATGTTCTGGAAACTGTCAGGCTGAGCATTACTACCATGACTTGTGTCCCTTTGCAAAATTCTAGAAAACCAGCCACTATTTCGAGTCACTGGACTGTTGAGTGGGAACGGAATCATAGCAGAAAGCAAAGAGGGACTTCACTCCTTCATCTCCAGCAATGCAGAAAGCTATTCCTAGCTAAAGCATAGTCCAGGTCAGATAGAATCTCATGGGCCAAAGGATTTATACAGAGATACAGTAACTGAGTTATCCAGTTACGGCTTCTAGGTAATAACTGGATACCTGAATCTATCAGTACATGGCACTCTAGCCGTGTTGTCAAGCAAGGCATTGCTACTTCACTGATGCCTATAGGTCCATGTTGTATGGTGACAGTTTCCCACTCTAAACTGGTGTCAGCTAACAAGCGTCATGAAGTTCCTACTAAGCAATCATAATGCTTCATTTCATCCTGGACTCCTGGCTTTAAGATATTCCCAAATGCAATGCAATAACAGAGGAAAAGGAATAATTACTAGCACTAAATATTTGGAAAAAATGACAAGGTTTACAATTTAGATACAACTTACCATGCCTTTGTAAAATAAACTCCTTTGACTCAACATATTCAGACTGCTGCGAGAAAACAACAGCCTTAACTCGAAGCCAGTGAGATAAATAAGGGTCATATATTTCCTTTGAGAAATCACAAAAATGATCTGTAGTGTTCATACAGGTTGAGATTTTCTTATAGTAACCTAAACTGTAAAACAGATCAAGTAATAGTTAATACAACTTCAACTGCATAATTCTGTACAATACAGTGCGAGTAACAAAGAACTGTGAGGGTGGCCAGGACCTGTGAGGGCACAGATTGCCCAGGGTGGTTGTAGAGTATTCTACCCTAGGGACATTCAAAAGCCCTCTGGATATAATCATGGATGACCTGCTCAAGCAAGGGGGTTGAACCAGATGACCTCCAGAGATCCCTGCCAACCTCAACCACCCGATTACTTGACAAATTTTGCCTTAATTTACACTTGGGCAACCTTCATCCCATGTGACATCACCACATACAACCAAAAGAATTTACCATGGACTGACTGCTTTTGTATGTTTCTAGATAACATCAGGTACAGGAGATAACAAAATAATAAGAACTTACTTGTAAGGCTTGATTTCCACAATAAAACGAGGAGTTTCAGACATAGGTGGGTACTGCCAATGCAAAACTGATTTGAAATTTTCAGATGTCACTACAAGCTCCGTTGGTGAAGGCACTAGAATGAAGAGAGCAACTGCACTTTGATAAACAGACCTTTGCAAACACAAGAACAGCCAAATGTACTTCTAAATTATTTGGAAAAGGCAACATGCTAGACACAGAAATCACAAATACTTCCCCCAGATGAGCTAGTCTGTCACCAGTAAAAACACCCATGAGCCCTGTAAGTTGATTTATTATTCATCTCTCCTGCTGAGAGGAGAAATGTCCTCTTTGCAAGAATGTCAGATAACCCAGGTGCACTGAAGGCAAGTGCATCAGACAGCCTGTATCAGGTCCATAAGCAGTGATGATTATACCCCTGTGTTGGTCTTTTAGAGGTGTAACAGTGAGACAGGTTGTGGGACTTAACTCAAGCTAGAGGAGATTAGCCCAGTTCCTGTAGATTTCTGTAGCTGTTCAGAAATTGAACTGGAGTGGATGGGCTGGGAGATGGTACCAGAGCTGGAGTATCAAGGCCAAAATGCAACAGGCCTGCTCGGGAAAGCCTGTGTTCCCTATGAATTTCTAACAGTGATACTTCTATCACTCCAGCAGTATTTTCAGTAAGCTGTGATGACCAAAATGAACTACAAACACTTGTAAGGAAATTGAACACTGAAGCTATAATGTAGTTCCATTTGAAGGAACATGTTTGAAGCACACTTAGCAAAAAATGTCAGAGGTAATGTAGTAATGCATTCAAAAAAAAAAGAAGCAACACTGACAGTCTTCCATGTATCTGTTTCAAGTTGCAAGCCCAATAGGGATATCAAGGGAGCAGCTTCAGGAGAAGGAAAACCACGGGATCCCGTAAGGCCGACACATGACACTCAGGAAGAGAAGTGAAGAGAAAGGAAGGTCACTCAACTGAATTTAACTGTTAAAACTCAGCTTCTCAATGTTTGGCACCCTTAGTATTCTCAATGTGGCTTTTACAAAATGTTGAGGGAACTCATATTTGACCTGCTCTACATTGCTTCTTGTTCACAAAGCAAGTACTGCAACTTCATTCTGAGATATATTTAGGGAAAGTAATCAATTTACACATCCTGAGGACAAGACCACAAATACACACATTACTGAAAGTAATACACAGGGGCTGAGATATGCTACTGACCACAAAGGTTTGACAGATGTAATATAGATCACTCTGCAAATGGTTCTGTGGTTTTTGTTTTAATACATATAACAGTGGTATTTCAGCTATTGGGAAAAAAGGAACATAATCATCAAATTCATAACCACAAGGAAAAAAAAAGGTGACAAGTTGGCAGAAGAGATGTCAAGCACACAGATGGGCCAAAGTACACAAACATTACTTCAAGTGTGCAGTTTTAAGCCACAGTGTGGCTAGCCTTACAAAATTTTACCTTTTGTTTACTATTACATAAAAGAAACTGCTTAACAAAAGGGTTGACCCCAGAGCACTGAAGGAGGTAGCAATGTTAAGAGCAGGACCGCTCCATCATTGGCCTAAGATTTGGGGAGGTCCCTGCTTACTAAAAGACAACCACTATTCCAACTTACAAGAAGGGCATGAGGAAAGACTCAGGAAACCAGACCTGTTAGCCTAATCTCAGCGCCTGGAAAAAATGATGGAGAAGATCATGCCAGGTGCTCTCAAAAGACATTAGAAGAAGAATATAATCACCAGGAACAGTCAACACGGGTTCACAAAGTGGAAGTCCTGCTTAACTGATTTATTACCTGCCTTGTAGGTGAAGGGAAGGCAGCAGATATATTTCTTCTGGATTTTAGTACAGCTTTTTTGCGATACTGTTTCGCACTGTGCTCTTCCAAACAAGTTGGCATATGCAGGTTCACAGCACACTGAGTGAAGAACTGGCTGAAGGGCAGAGCTCAAAGGGTTGCTGTGAACGGGGCT